ATTTAATTTAAAATTTTAGTGGCTGAATATAAGTACATATGTCCAACAGTTGAGTTAAACGCAGTAAAAATTGCAGAATTAGTGTTGAAACTTTATGAGTAAAGAATAATTTACGCGGCAAAAGAAGTTCATTTTAAGTAGCCTACACTATGACAATTAATTGCTAATCCATCAGTTTTTAAAACACTATGTGCCCTATTTTGATGAGAGAAGTTTAAACTCACCAAAACATCAGGTAACTTTTATTGATTGCAAACTCAATCACCCCCTATTTATTTATTTTTGATAAAGATGCAAATAGGTAAGGAGTAAGAGGAACGCTCCTGCCGGGGCTAAACATACTTACACGTCATGACTGTTGCATCACTCATAAATGAAGGGGCCTACATTCGATTTACAGTGAAGTATGATTTTTATCCAGTTCCTTTTAGAAGTACCTAACAAGACAATTTGACTCACTAAGTTTAAGACTTTGGCCGGATTCTTTACCCCTTTAAATCTGAAAGTTTTTTAGGGTTTTTGCAGTTTTACTTAATAAGAGAGTTAGAAGTACGTTCCCATGAAATTGTGAATTCGTAAATTTTAGGAGAGGAGTAAATCGAACGCTACTTATGAATCTTAATAATTTTGAGACATTAAGGACTGAACTCTTTTGTAGCATCTTTACCTTCTTAGTAAAAAAATAAAAGCCCCATATTTCATTGTTGCTTTTCATCAAGTTTTGATCCATTCGACCATTTTTGACCCAGAACGATCTCCAATTGCGACGTTGCAAATTTCGGCTCTGTTTTTATTTTACTGAAGAAAAATTAGGCGCCATTATATATTGAAAATGTTCATGATTTTTCATCATACTATTTGATAATAATTTCTAAAAATTCCAACGGAAAATGAATGATACTTTTCTTAAAAAAAGAGAGACATGGTCGGAAATTTTGAAACGATTTTACTTACGATTTTTTCTTAACAGAAAGAAATACAAATTTTAACAAATTAGACTTTTTTATTAGGTAAGACCAGGTTATGTACAACCATATTACTCAGATGCATCAATCAGAAAACGGTCATTCAGTAAATGATTCCTCAGAGTCATATACAAGGAGACACCTTCTTGGGAATCATCGAGTAGAGGATTTGGCACCAAAGTGTGAGCAACTTCACCAAAATGGTCCAATTCCTCCGGACTGAGCTGAAATACTGAGACATCTATGTTAGGTAAGGGCAATTCAACATCACTTGAAGCAGTGAAGTCTAAATCCAAAAATTCTGGTACCAATTCCAGCTCAAAAACATCCTCTTCACTACTTAACTGGCGCAGGCTCAACAACCACAACTCATTAGGAGTAGCATTATGTGCTGTCCTTAAACCATGATTATTCCAAAGATTACGGAAACTGTCAAGGCTTTTCTGGATTCTTGGAAAGTAAACATAGATTAGACATAATAAATCCAAAACAGAAAGTTGACTTAAGACATCGGCATGTTCTAAATGTCTAAAAATTCGACGAAATTTGGAGGACACAACAGAGTTTACCTCTGCCCATAACCTCTCGATCCTGGTGTTGTGTACACTTCTACCTTGAATGTAAGGGGCCTCAATATTGCAGCGTCGGGTTTGCATGAAATCCATCACTCTAACATTTTCGGTTCCCCTGTCCCCACGTACTCGCATTGGTAAGCCATGCTTCTCTACTCCTCGTTCAAATATTTCCAGGACTGTATCACTTCCTTTCGTCACAGACAGCTGAAGATAAATTATCTTTCTGGAGAAACCGTCAGTGCATCCATGGATGTAGAGATGCCACGGAACAAGCTTTTCATTCCCATCCATGTGCCTGGAGGAGAAAAAAATAAAAAATGCTGCAAGATTTAAAATCATAGAAATAGGTGAATTTAAAACAAACAATGGGTGAGCTTCTGGAGACTGAGGATTTTTTGAGATATGACACTTCCAAAACTGAACCAGGAAGAGAATTTCTTTAGAGAGAAACACTGATGAAGTTTTCAGAGCACTTGTATGACACAGTAAGTTACAAATCGGACGATGTCTGCAAATTGTTCTCGACCACGCAACGGACTGGTCGCAAGAGAGGCGAGAGTGAGAATCAATACTTACAGTGCATTTTGTTGTGGATGACATTCAGACCATTGACCTGGGGGTCAAAAATCGAAAATGGTAAATCGCCGTACTGCAGGCTGATTCATGTGGGCTAATTGAAAATTATGGTAATTTTTAAAAGATCGTAACTTGGACATCCTTTGACAAAAAAAATGATCCAATACCAAATTCATAGTATTTTCCACGCTCTTTAAGAGCATGATGACAAAATTTATCAAAAATTTTAAAATTTTGTGCGAAATTTTCAATTCTTTGAATTTTTACAATTCCAAAAACTCAAAACATTCAAATTTAGTACAAATTTTAAAATTTTTAATAAATTTGTCATCATATTCTCAAAGGGCGTGAAAGTTACTATTAAATTAGTGTATCCATCATTTTTTTGGTTGAAAGACGCTCAAAGGTATGACCTTTAAAAAAGTCCCATAATTTCGCGAGAGAGCTCACAATACGGGGGTTTGTCATTTACAGTGCGATTTTTTACCCCCTTGAGGGACCACTAAAAATGCATAAAAATAAAGATCCTTTTAATGGGGGTCTATTTTGATCCGAATGAGTCAAAAAAGCTCGAGGCCCCATTACTTTTGCCATTTTCTGAGAAGTTGAAAAAATAAGCAACACCATACTGTGCCGCTGCGATCTTCGCTTGTCAACGTCACAGTCGCAACAGCAGTAAAAAGCGCTTGGCAGAAAGCTGACTTTAATATCGCGACTAATGTGGAGGCAAAGAACAATGTACAGGTTTGGTTTGGATCCTCCCTCCCCCTCTAGCAATGCATAATAGCGAATGCTCCCCAGGCAGTAATGCCTAAATTATTTCACCATTTTTTTTGAATTTTTAAAAATTGTGTTGGAAACTTGTTAGTACCTTCTGCCAGCATATCATTACAGATGGCAGTGGCCATCTCCGGTAAAATTAAGTACGACTTTCAAGTCTACAATCACTCAGAGAGGCTCCTGAAAAAAAAAGAAGAAAAATCTAAATATGCACTCCACACAAACATGATTCCTTGGGATAGAAGTTTAAATGGCCCTTTGCATCATCAGGTATCTGCCTCTTTCATGTACAGCATCGTGAAGGCAATTCCAATCACAGACTTCAGTTGCATTATTAAAGTTAGCTGTTGGCACAGCGTTCAGTACTTGCCAAGCCAACTGGTGTCACATAGCAAGCAGCGCAGTATGACAGTCATCTCTGGAGGCTGCTGCGGCTGTTGTAATCTACGGTGTTCCTCCATCACACTCATGACAGCGAGAAAAAGCTTCAAAGAAAGCTGACTTTAACAACGCAACTCAAGAAGTACCTACCAAACGGAGCTAGAGGCTAATAAGCTGGACTCCCAAATTATACATCACTTTAGCTACCTAATAATTTAAGATTGAATACCCTCATCACAGGCATGCACTTCTAAGTTTAGGAGAGAAAAGGAAGGAGGAAACGACCACGGCTTTGACAGACACTTCAGCTGCGTAGTTCAAGTCAGTAACTGGTGCAGCGTTTGCTACTCGCCAAACTAACTGGCATCAGTAAGCAAATGTGTAGTAAGTTAAGAACTGAGAACTGTCATGTTATGATGCTGACACCACAGGTCTCAGTTCTCAACTCACTACAAATAGCCCAGCATTTGCACTGTCCTAGGTCGTTTTCACTGCCCCAATTGCTGCCTTCCATAACGCAACTATAGGCCTTGTCTCCACGAGCCGTTTCACGAGATTTGTCCCAGGGAAAAAACCCACTTACGAAGTTGGGAAAAATATTGAGTTAATCAATATTTTTCCCAGTATCCCAGTACCAAGTATGGTGCTTGTACCCCTAGGACCCACTGAGAGAAGAAGAAGAAGTGAAAACGAATTGTGCGATATTTTATTCATTACTACATTGTTAATGTTTGTTTAGTTGAAATAATGTGTCTAATTGTCAATTGAGTGCAATTATTATTTTAATCCTGGTTAAATACTCAACTTTAACTAATTTATCTTCCCGCGCCAACTAGTCGCAGGACTGTATGAGCCCCGTCTCGTGGAGACGGTAACTGGGAAAAATCCCAGAAGTTTCACTCCTGCGATTCGAACTTGGCACAAATCCCATGAAAACGTTCCGTGGAGACAAGGCCTTAGCAAGTGCAATGTTACATAAGTAAAAACTTAGTTTCCACTGGAAAATGAAATGAACAGATACGAAATAAAAAAAATTACTTACTTACCCATTGATAGCGAAAGCATAACTAATCCGATCCGAAACTAGAGTATCCGAATCCATAACGGCATAACTTTAAAAACTGAAACTACTTCTTCTTGTGTTAAGTCAACAGGTCTGCATTATTTTGTTGCATGCAACTTTTAACAGTTACACTATTTCCAAGAACACTTTCGAGGAACTCCATTAAGTATTCATATAATATGACAATAATAACAATGAGAACATAAATTCGGAAACAAAAATATTATATATAATAATAATAAAATAAACCCGAATTTGCAAGAATGCAAGCAAAACAAACAAAAACAAAACCGGCAACACAAATTGACTTTTTCTTCTTCTTCATTTCCAAATTCCATCAGCAACGGACCGAACGGTCATCAAGATCGGGGACCTCTCGTGGCGTACGCGCGTGCGAATACTTTTACAGAAATAACACCATACAAGAGCCACGTACTATCAAGTTTTCATTTTAAAATTAAGCCAATCTCAAAAAAATTTAACATGACAGGCACTAGCAGAGAAAAGTAGCAGAGTCCTCCTAAAGGTACTGTGAAAAATCAATTAATATCTGACAGAAGAGACTCCAACTACTTTGACATATTTACATTGCAGTGATTTTCACCGACAAATATGAAAGGTAATATTGAAGTGTGAAGCGTCTTGAGATGTCAGAGTCAGAGAGAGAGGTCTTTATTCTGCCCAAAAATATGAGAACTAAGCTGAAACAGTTATCACTCCAGCTTTTAAGCATAGATTCAGCTCTTTGCTGGTAGAGTACGCAGTATCCCTGCTGCAAAAGCAGCGGGTCGATTGTAGAATCGTTATCAAATGAACTTGATCACTGAATTCTTATCTTAGCCATGCAATTTATTGAACGCCATTAGATAAAGTTTCAACAATTCGAGCGCAACGTTAACTCTGCTCCTCTACACGCTTTCACAAAATGCCACAATGACAGCAGAGGGGTCGAATACCTGAATTGAGCGCTTATAATAACAAACTTAGATTTTTTTACTTTCGGAGCCAATTATGATTGGATTTCTTACCTTAAAGTGGTAATAATTTTAGTAACTGATTTAGGAGTGGCGTAATTTAGTACTTGAATAGTCAGATTAATAGAATTTACGTTTTTGCCAAGTTTGGAGCTCCTCAAAGGTGGGGGCTACGTCAATAGCCTGTAGATATCCTTAAAGGTTTTTTTCTGGTTACACATGAGCACAGTCAGCGTGAAGTGATCAAGACTTTTTGAAGCTTGTAAGAAAGAAAGTAAAAGACATCATCAGCTGGGACAGAAAGAATGCTTTCCTTCATTCATCATAATTCTAAAATAATTATGATTCAGCTCCTCTGATAGGAAACTTCTTCTCTAACTTGTTCTGTTTTTGTGATTTCAGAAGTCTGTTACTTTGAATTGAAACTGATAAAAAATCAAAGGACAAGATGAGTTATCCCTACAAGGCACCTAGCATGGCAGAAATTTTCCCATTGTCATACCGTAAGTATCAGAAAAAAAATCAATTTGCTCATAATAAAATAAAATGAATAAACTTCCGACATAGGAGTACTTTTTTGGACTTGTCGTTAAATAACGTTTAAGGAAGATGGGAAAATTGATTTTAAACTATGGAAAATGGAAGAAAAATAAAAATTAGGTAACAGACAGAAATTAAAGAAGGAATTGTTCATCAAAGTTGTAGTTATTCTTTCTCTCCTAGCCATTAAAAACAAAGAGTGAACGATGACTTGGCTACTGTGTTACTTCTTTTAATCTCTGGTGGAAAAAAATTCTTATCAACCTGAGGAGGCAGACATTTTCACATTTTGATATCAGGAAATAACTGAAGAATATAAGTTGAAATGCTAGTACCCATACCGCCATTAATGTTGTGAGTTATGACGCCTATGAAACACTACATGAAAGTTTTAGGAGAAATTTCATTTTACTTATGTGATAGTTTAACAAGTTTTAACCGATGAAAATTTGCAAAATTGAATTTACTGCAATATCATTTTTATTTTTATTTCATTTTGTTCCAGAGCAACCGAAGAGTTCAAAAAATTTTATCAAGGAAAATATCAGAAAAGTGAAAGGAGTCAAAAGTAAAACTAGTGAAACTGGCTCTAGGATGTCGGTGGATTCCAGCTGCAAAGGATTTCCACCATTTAAATCTGCTGTGAGTATTAATGAATTCTGAAATTACTTAATCACTTAAAACCCAACATATTTAAAGTGTATGAAACTGTTAAGACTCCAAAATTGCTTAAATCAAAGTTATTTTAAGAAAAAACGGAAAAAAACTTATACATAATTGTCACAGACTTTTTACAACTTTGAACTGCAAAGGAATTTCTTCAAATCAATGCTTCCCGGAGTGGAAGGACTGTTGCTTGGCAACCAACAAACTGCAAGATCGTTCTACTTAAGCCACAAGAGAAGACCTCGTGTGATTAGAAATTAGAAGGAACTGTGCATTCCTACAATGCTAAGATTTTAAGAGATGTATGTTTTCAAATTAAGGTAAAAATTCAAAAATGCATAGTGAATGTAATATATTTGAGTCTTTTTTATTGTAGGTACGGTCCAGAGGCGAATTCGGCAGCCAGTCTTTCGATTCTTTGCGAAAACCTCTCATTGAAAAACAGAAGCTGACAAAACATGCTGAACAACTAATTGAGAAAACCCGCTCGGAAATTTGCTCAAAAATTTCCTCAGCTAGTACTCGCAAAAATTATTCTGATAAAGGTGAGCATCAATATGCATGTTGTGAACTCATGCATGGTGTACTTGTGAATTTTGAGTGAATCAAAACCAGAGCGTATCTACCAAACAGCACATGTTTTAAGAAGTTGTAGTCCCAAGTATTTTTGAATTCCTTTTCATCTGTTGCAGAAAGTTAAAAGTCTTTAAGTTAAATTCAGTTAAAATGCAGACATAAATTGCCATTTTATTAGAAAGGTTTTCTAAATCAGAGCACAAAATGTTATCTGATGAACTGAAACAATCAACATGAAAAATCACCACAACTGCAGTTTTTTGTTCATCATTCCTATTATTATTTGTTTGGTAATTATTTGAAAATTCATTTTCAGAATGTCAAACATATGAAATGGAAAATTTACGAATAGGCGATCAAGACAAACCTGCATCAGCAGCCAGCTCAGCACGGAGCATAGGTTTACAGACAGATATTCTGGAAAATATTAACAAGACTGATAACTTTAGGACGGCCCCTAGTACCAAGATAAAATCACCTCGCTCTAAAAAAAAGGTAATCTTGAGAAAAAAATTGCTAAGCCAACAGTACAAATCCTTTTCCTAACACTTGTATTCATATTCAGCAAAAGAACTTCACTACTCCTATGTGGACCTGAAGTGTGTTCATAGTTGCGCCTAGAGGCTCCTTTCCATACATAAGCCAAAATGGTTTACATTTTGATGAAGATAAGAGAGGCTTCAGAAGACCGCAGAGAATTAGAAGAAGACAATATGGATAAAATCAATAGAGTAATTCTAGGGATGGATCCGTGTTAGGGATCATAATTATTTGCCTTTCCAAAAACTTAAATGCACCTAAAAGAGAAAATTCTTGGATTCTACTAACTCAGAGATAGCTACAGTCCTACTCTGAAATTTTTCAAGATCATATTTTCTGAGGTATTCATGAAATCTCTTGGAGCATTGAACCTACCAAGAGGGTTACGGAAAAACCACTCAAAATTGAACTGATGATTCAATCAAGAACAAAAGGACGTAAGAGATCTCTTGGAGCATTGAACCTACCAAGAGGGTTACGGAAAAACCACTCAAAATTGAACTGATGATTCAATCAAGAACAAAAGGATGTAAGAGACTGATGAATATATGAAAAATTGTTTCAGAACAGAAATGGATAACTAAAACATGTTATCATGAATTCAGAACGAAAACACCAAACAGAATTTGATCCTCACATAAATTATGTAACCTAAAAATTAATTTTCTCCGAGTTCTACATTCTCTGACTCTCTATGTATCTATTTATCCTCTCTTTTTAAAGCGTTATAACCTTCAGAATAAAAAAAAAAAAAATACAGAGATTACCCAAGTTGACCAAAACATAATTTTATTCAGTTTGTTGTTCACCCCACTGAAGAAAAAGGAGAGGTAGAAACATAAGGAACTAATTAAAATGAACTTTTGTATTTTTAGAACTTGTGTGGAGTAAAGTCGAGTGATGAAACCCTAAAGACCAATCGTTCTTCAAATAATTTACCATCTAAGAATAGCGTACCTGAATCTTATCAAAGAGGAACCATACCAAAGTAAGTCTGTCCTGTATTTTGTTGAGTTACAGTAAATTGATAAAAGCGAGTTTCGGTGTAACCATGATGCATACTGCGATTAGCTGGTCAACAGTGTAGGTATTTTTAGAAGTCTAAATCGGGGAGGAAAAAAAAAATTGAGAGAAAAATTTGATAGAAACATACATCAGATACGACCACCAGTTTCCTTTAGGTATAAATACTTTTAAATATAATGACGTAAAAATTCATTCAGCTACCTTCAAGTCCAAAGCAGTAAGAAATTAATCTCTTCAGTAAATAAATTCATCCTTGTCATAAGAAGAAGCATTGTAAATATTACTGAACGTCTATTTTTCTCTTCCATTATCTCTTCATTCAACATACCTAGACTGATCTTCTCTATTCTAACAATAAGTGTGAGAGCATCAAATGAATGAAGCAATAATATTTTTCAAAATACTAGCAGACCAGCCTGTGTATGCAAATACATCGTAAGTAAATAACTATGGAGAAGTGATTGCAACTCTCTACTTTTATTTCAGGTATATACAGGAGAAAAAATTGCAAAAAGAGCAAGAAGAAATGGAGAAGAAGAAAATGGCGCAAATGCTAGGAACCGATGATCCTGACTGTCCTCCAGGCCACGTTAGACTGCCAGATGATAAACGGAAAGAAACTCTTCAATTAATTAAAAACAGTATGTTCTCACTCATCCATTACTTTATATCATACTCTCTAAAACTGTTTGTTGAATCCTGGTCCTATGAAGTAGGCAATGACCCTCAAAAGAGAACAGGTGAAAAGGGTATTCCATTTTTCCAAATTTATTTTCTAGATTAGACGATTTAGTGCTAAATCTAAAAATTAAAGGATTCCTAATACAAGATTGCTGATTCCCTGAGACAAAAGAAAAATACGCCTTACATTATAGAGTTTAGAGTGTGTGGTATGATGAGTCTTTGTTTTTCATGTTTTATTGTGAAACATAAAGCAAAGTCCTTGGGAACATTCTAGGGACCTTTCTTTCCTAAATTAGATCGAAATTTTCAGAATACATCATATGCAAATAGATGTAGGTTGCTGGGATAATTTTGGTCAGACAAAAATTGCTTTTGTACCAAAATTTAAATGGATTTTGGCTTCTTTTTTTTAAAGATAGTTCAAAATCTATTAAAAACTAATGAGACCACAATAAAGGGAAACTTTGTTTCTAATGGGTCCGGTAAAAACTTTAGCTACAGCAAAAACAAGAGTTATTCCTCATAGGAAATGTCTCAAAAATCATGATGAGCTCATTAGCAAAGTCCGAAAGCACTCCTAACTTCACAATCTGCATAAGAAATTTGCGTTGTCTTGAGAGACAGGAGCTTTCTTCAGTTATTCAGTAATTTGAATGGTTCCCTAATTTTGACTGACAACCTTTCTCAAAGGACATTATAACTTTCCTTTACAACTTTCAAAGCACTCCAGACAAACTGAGTTGCATTGTCAGCATGATATTGTTTTAACTGCATTGATTAAAGTACCCTGAAAATTAATCTGCAAAAACTGATGGATTTTTATTTAATACATTTTAATTTTCTCGTTTCAGAATATGATCAGTTATTACTTGAATTAAACGGACTACCTGTGAGATCGGATTCTTACAGGATTAAGAAACACAGGACATTCTTGGAAAAGGAGCTGGAGAAAATGGAAGCTGGACTGAAAACATTTTCTCGTGAAAAGTTATTTGTAAAAATAGCTCCATAATTCTGTACCATCAATCCTCTCACCTGTTTCCTCCTACTTTTATGCTTTCTCTCACTGCCCACCACAAATTTTATGTGACGATAAGATGAAATTACTTTGTGATATTGTGTGATAATGAACAAATAAAAATTGTATTTTGATCAAAAATGATACAAGATTTTCTTTTTCGTTTTTAAACTTCCTTCTAAAACCAGTTTTATGCGAATAAAGCTTGAAACATCCCTGCATTAATAATTTCCTGTCATTTAGTCTGGACTTGATCCAGGATTTTCCTGTGCGATATTAAGTTACTCAAGGGCTTCTTACTGACAGTTAAGAGCAGTAGAATGTTTAAAACTTCCAGTGTCGGATTTAAGATAGGGCAACCTGTGCTCCCTGGAAACATCCGAAGCACCAAAGGCACTGCGTTATTTTTTCTTTACATTTAGAGAATGCTATGAAGTGGATTGTGTATAAATGATACTTGCTTCTGCTGGATGAAAATCAGTTACAATGAAGCCATCCAGCCTCCTTCTCCCTTAAAGAACACTATTTTTCGCAAACTTTACTCAGCATTAAGAAGAGGGCATAAGAAACAACATTATTGTTTAAAATCCTTAGCTTCGGGTAAAAGCTACGATTAAACCTTGGCCAAATTTGCGTCTATTCTGGTTCATGCGGATGAAAACACCTTGCACAACCCAACTTACAATAAGGCAAGATGTCTCACAACTAAGGAAGTATGTTCAAGTAATTGTAAGTTGGACATTCTGGAGCAACAAAATTTTGCCCCTAATCTGAAGCGCCTTTCACTGAAAATTGTTACAGAACACTGAAGAGAGAGTTGTCATAACACCATCTCTCTCTTAAGCCCATATTAGACGATCAAAGTAGAGCTCTCAAAATGGCGTGACGTGGGGTTACGTGACTCCACTTGATACCGGCTTTACACCTTGAGTCAAGGAAAAATTTTCTGTGTCATCATCAGTGAATAGGTACACTTTTGTTCGACTCTTCAAGAATTTGATATCAAACCACTCAATACTAATAAAGCTGCTACTTATTACCTATGGATCAGTGTCTTGCAGGGGGCAGAATTTTCTCCATCAAGCGATGATACTTGATGAATGATGGATGCAAGGCCGCTCGCATGAGAATTGGGGAAGGCTTTATTTTAAATTTTTTTTAATCATCTCGATCAAATTTAGGAAGAAGACTTTGAGTGCATCGTATTTCCTGCTGGATGCTTTTTGAGCATGCTGCTTTCAGCGAAGGAAACTATCAACCGCATTCTTTTACGTAGAGGTGTAATTATACCGAATCGAATTATTTCATCAAATTTTGGGGGAAGCGAGTTTCGAAGTGGGGAAGGCTAAGAAATTTCTGCACCTCCGATGCCTTGGCATTAATTTGTACATTACGAGTTTTGCCTCTCAAAGACACAGATTGCGAAGTACCTTAATGTAGTGGCAGATGTCATCCATAAATAACTTGAATTAGTATGTACAAAGAATACCTGATGCAAATGAAGATGTAAATGATGCTGATACATTTTCCGATGAAGATTCAAATGTATTTAATTGGAGAAAACTTACCCCAGGAAGGTGATGAAGATACCAAGAGATTGATTTCATGCCAGTTGATAACATTCTGCAATTCCGATATTACTTTGAGAGCAAGTTTTTGCGGAAGAACTGAAGGCACACATGTTGAATGTCTTCTAGTTCTGTTCGTTGCAGATGTGACAGCACTTCTACGTAAAATTTTAGGAAACTTGCCGATGATTTGTCCAATTTGTCCAATTTGTCCAAGCGCCGAATTTAGTCACGCACGCGTCGCGTTGCTAAAATATTGAATCATGAATTTTTTGTCAGATTTTCACAATGCAGAAATTCAAATCAAAACAGCAAAAACTGAATTTTGATGATCGGTGTCCCCCGACACTATGCAATTAGATGGTATTAGATTAGATGGTATTGCACTATGTCATCGATGTATCAAAACAAAGCCATGTGAGTTAACCTCAACTTTTTTATTCAAAATCTCTAAAGTCAAGAAAATTTCTAGTATTTAGGTTTCTTATCGTTCATAAAATTTCTCTTCTAGTATTTCATCTACATCTTTTAAAAATGTACGCTCGAGTAAAATCTCCCCTTCGTTTTCCAGGATTTATCTCTCATGAGTTTAAAATTGTGACAGTAAGTTACAGGAAGAGTGTCTGTTTCATTTGAATGCAATTCTCAATTTGGTCGAAGAACATTCGAAGTAATGCTGATCGAGAGGAGATCATGAGATCTGTAATTTTGATCTGTGAAAGTTTTTGTTCTTTCTCAGTTATGTGGAGAGGCAAGAGACAGTGCCAAACTTTGTGAATTCAAAATGGGAGCACTCCTAACATGACCGGGATCACGACTACCTCGAAACCATTTCAGTTGACTCTGGCAATCATCAAACCCCACATAATCTCAGCACCTCATGCACTTCAGGTTGTTATATGTTTTATGTACTTAGCAGAGTTTACAACGAATAAGTAAATGAATTTTTAGATTGCGACAGCAGATTTGTTGTCCTTAGTCTAGTGGTGTAAGTAAATACAAGAATTAAGATGGCAGATCCACTGCCTACCTAAGGTGCTATACTTATTTTAAGTTGACTCTGTATTGATTCCAATTTTTGATGAATCACCGCAGCAACAATCAGTTGGTCAAATCATCATCACATACAGGGATGCAAAATTATAAGAGCTCCCTTTCGAATCGCTGACCACATTCCCATAGGTTTTCCCTTTTAAGAGTACCTCTTGAATTTCAAAAAAATAGCATTATACTTGACTTTTAATGAATCAAATGGATTTCATTTTCCTGCAAAAAAGTGCCTGATATCTCTTCATCAGTACATAGCTGTATTCTTCATATGAGCACAATGCCTGTGACCTACTTTTTCACAAAGGCTTTTCGGATGTTGCTTCATCATCAATGAAGAAGTAAGCACCTAGACACTTACAGCTGGGTTTTATAGGACTATTGAATCCTTTTTTGTGAATACAAAAAGGCAAGCTTTTATTCATTGTGAGCTATCCACCGTATGAAGAAACTGTGCCACTGAGAGAATAATCTCAAGTTCTGTGTATTATTGCAGATCTTTATTTATTCAATTATTTTTACACATTTATTCTCGAAAATTGTGTACAAAATGAAACATTAATATTATTATTTCTATTTATTTATTTAACTATTTATTCACATTCATACATTTATTCTAAAAAATTTTGCACAAAATGAAACATACAACTACACCGAAGGATAATCCGCAAAATGAAGTTTGAGCACTTTTAACAGGGCACCTCTCTCAAAAACAGGCACAAAGTTTCAGTTAAGGTAGGGTCTGGTTAAAATCAAACCAACTTGCAGAATATTGTTCCAGTAAGTGTTTTGAATAATTTTCTCTCTTACACTCTCCTCCCTCTTTCTTTCTTTCTTTCTTTCTTTTCTTTTTAAAATGATTACCGTTTCTTTCAAATCAACAGGGAATCAGAGAAACAATACTGGCAAACAAATTTTACATCGTTAGAACAAAACGTCACAGCTTGACCCTGGATGAAGTTAAAGAGTTCTACGCTGAACACACCAACAGATTCTACTTTAAACGTCTCGTCACTTTCATGTCAAGGTAAGTACACACATGACACGACTATGTTATCTTCAATATTAGCTCTACCTAGCTGTAATCCAGTGCTGATAATGGTCTCAGCATAGTAAATCGCTTTGTGAGAAAAACCAATTACAGCCCACAAACATTAACTTTTCAACAATTTTCTCCAACAGTCTTTGGTTTAATGTAAGGAAAAGCTTAATATTTTGTTCTTTTATTTATTGAACAATATTTACTGTTTGAACAGTCTTGTAACAATCCATGTATGACATAAAAATTGTGCTCTGTTCTACCCATCTTGCCATGCTGTATAAGAAAAAGAATACTTTGCAATTACCGTAGAGAGTCATGTACAAAATTCTGCCACTGACTAATTAATATCACTTAACCCAAAAAGGGGCTTGTATCAGTATGGTTGAAGTCTCAAGGTCTAGCAGCATCCCATTGTATTAGGGACAGCAGCCTAAAAGTGAGCATATTATTTTATTTAACTTGGACAGCCAGGATTAAAATTTTCTGAAAGTAGGTACAAGGCTGGATAGGTCAAATATGAAAAAAAATATCAAACACAATTGCTCACTTGTCTACACATTTTTTTTGCTTTCCTACCGCCTTTGCGCTATCCAGCCATCATCTGGGACGTGACTCAAGTTTTGGACATCGCTAGAGTCCAAAGAGTCGCTTCCCAGATAATGGCCAGAGCAAAAATGTGTAAGGGGAAGGAAAACAACAAATATTTGTAGACTAGCAAGTAATTGTGTTACATTCTCATCTTTTTTCCAAGGGCAGGTAAACCAACTTAGAGGCACAGAGGTCTTAAGTTACCAATATCTTTTGAAAATAATTTACATTATAGCATTAAACCTCTCATATCGAAGTTCATAGTTGCAACTAAGTTGCGTCCACTTACTTCATTAAAAATGTGTGTAGTCAAACCGCAATACGGAAGGCTGAATATGGCAAAATATTCTCTAACGGAGTAATGTATGTAATATTGTCATAGGGACCTGGTTACTAATGGCTCTGGTACAAAAGTGTATTGACTAATTCTGGAGATCATACCTTTTATATAAGTCAACAAGTTCTCACCCTGTAATGTTTTTGTTTCGCTGCAAATCATAATTTTGAATTGAGTTTTTCACTGCACAGTAACAGGACGAAGTTGGTGTCTTGCAGGCTCAAAGAGGTTGTTCCATCTACCATTGAAACTGGGCCCCGAATGAAATCTCCTCATCTTTTCAGGTATCAAAGGGCATGGTCAGGGACACCCAAAAATGGTTGAATTTTTTCCAAATTCCCCCCTGGGGAGGGGGGGCGGGGGGTTATATGAAAAACGGTTTTTTGGCTATAACTTTTGAACGGTTTGAGATATCGATTTGAACTTTTTTTTAAATGAAAGGTCGTTTAAAGAGCTTTCTTTTGGTATATTATGTTTAATAGTTAGGTCAAGTTTTGACCAATTTATGGCCTGTCAAAAATTTTCCATGAGTCCAAAAATCAGATTTCTGTAGTTTAGAGCAGCGACGATCGCATGCAGATGAACAAAAAACTGTTCAACTTATAGCCCTCTCTCTGACGGTTAAAATGAGCCCAAGATCATCTTGGGGAAACGATTTGTCTCCGAGTTATGCTTCTTCAAAGTTGGCGCGGCGGGGTCCGCTTCCGCGGGGCAGCGCTCCGGAGTACGATAGTTCACTCCCACCCCCCTCCCGTCATGCCACGCGACGCAAACCGAGGAAGACTACCTTTAATGATCATTTGAACAGATAAATGCACACAATATACGCTATTATGGTGTACAAGTATTATTAAAATTATATTAATATACTAAATAGAAGAGTGGAATCTCACCGAATTTATCATCACCGCAATCCATAGGATCATCGGCAGTGTGATCCGCATTTTCATCCTCATCTTCGTCGTCTGAAAAGCCAAAATCGACTTTTCTGAGAGGGAAGCACTCGTTCAAAAAGGCTGAAGGCGCTGGTTTTTTGTGATAGCGCCCGTAAAACAAATACGAGCACAAGGATTGATGGTACGCGCACCGTTCTTACATGTGCAGTAACTTGCTTTAATGGCCTCGCTGGATTTTTGACTGGTGTCGATTAATATAAATATATGATATTCTTTTTTTGATTTATGCCTCGATAGGATCCGCGATCGAAGAAAAAGAGGCGAATTTACGGAAATATCATATTTTTGAAAATCTGGCAAAAAGTTATCCTTCGTCACTTGAAAGCAATATTTTCCATCAGCAAAATGGTCTGCAATATGACTTGCTGCAAGTCCAATTTGATAACTTCCCGAGAGGGTGTCAAGATCTTCGCTCCTCCACTGTTCTAATTGTTCAAAATGATCTGTCGTCAGGTTTTCAAAAACTACTTTTTTTCGGAGCCATTTCTCGTCCTCAACAATTTGTTGCACAATATTCGGCTCATTTAATTTTTGGAGCATTTGAATGGCAATTTTTGCGTCGTCACCATCACTTTGCAGGCGTTGAAAATATAAATTATGTATCGCGGACACTATGCGATAGTCGTCAAACAAATTGCCGGATCCAGGTATATTGCTTCTCGTTTTATAGAGCGTTTTCAATATAATTTTAATAATACTTGTACACCATAATAGCGTATATTGTGTGCATTTATCTGTTCAAATGATCATTAAAGGTAGTCTTCCTCGGTTTGCGTCGCGTGGCATGACGGGAGGGGGGTGGGAGTGAACTATCATACTCCGGAGCGCTGCCCCGCGGAAGCGGACCCCGCCGCGCCAACTTTGAAGAAGCATAACTCGGAGACAAATCGTTTCCCCAAGATGATCTTGGGCTCATTTTAACCGTCAGAGAGAGGGCTATAAGTTGAACAGTTTTTTGTTCATCTGCATGCGATCGTCGCTGCTCTAAACTACAGAAATCTGATTTTTGGACTCATGGAAAATTTTTGACAGGCCATAAATTGGTCAAAACTTGACCTAACTATTAAACATAATATACCAAAAGAAAGCTCTTCAAACGACCTTTCATTTAAAAAAAAGTTCAAATCGATATCTCAAACCGTTCAAAAGTTATAGCCAAAAAACCGTTTTTCATATAACCCCCCGCCCCCCCTCCCCAGGGGGGAATTTGGAAAAAATTCAACCATTTTTGGGTGTCCCTGACCATGCCCTTTGATACCTGAAAAGATGAGGAGATTTCATTCGGGGCCCAGTTTCAATGGTAGATGGAACAACCTCTTTCTTTCTTGAAGGTCCAGAGATTGTCAAAACCATCATCCTTAAAATTAGTGTGTGT